AGCCACTAATGGTGTTGCATGCCACAACGTCTGGCTGTTGCTCAAACAAGTTTCCAAGGCAATTGGCATCATCCACTGGATCTGTGGCAACCTTCCTGTCTGGTTTGGCAAATTAAACAACAAGCTGTGGCTCCATACCTATAGTCCACCTGCCCAAAGCTATGTGCAAGGACATGCCAGTAGCTGTAAGGAAGTCCCTTCCGAGCACAACATCCTGGCAGAGGTCAGACAGACAAATGAATTTTTGAACCCGGGAGCCGCCATCCCACTCTATTGTGCATTTTGTAACAACAGTACTGAAAGTTGGGCGAGTTGGTACTCATTCATGACTTCTTTGCGAAAACACGTACACGGACACAAGGAAAAGAGGCAAACAACACGGGCGCAAACTCACAACTGGTTTATTTTGAACAATGAACTGTACTTATATCTTCACGTAGCCCACACGCCCCCCCATCGGTGGATCCAGGAACAAACGAGATAACCTAAAGAAAGCTTATTCAACGCTACGTCATGATAAGAACCACAAAACAACAAAAATTGAAGAGTTCACGCATCTGCAGACGGATTGTTGCACGTGCCTTTCAAAAAGTCAAATTCTTTATCGGACATGGTGACGGAAGCTTGGCCGACACATGGGAGAAACATGGGAGAAAAATGTGTCAGCCAAGCTTCCGTCACCATGTCCGATAAAGAATTTGACTTTTTGAAAGGCACGTGCAACAATCCGTCTGCAGATGCGTGAACTCTTCAATTTTTGTTGTTTTGTGGTTCTTATCATGACCTAGCGCTGAATAAGCTTTTTTAGGTTATCTCTTTTGTTCCTGGATCCACCGATGGGGGGCGTGTGGGCTACGTGAAGATATAAGTACAGTTCGTTGTTCAAAATAAACCAGTTGTGAGTTTGCGCCCGAGTTGTTTGCCTCTTTTCCTTGTGTCCGTGTACGTGTTTGCGCAAAGAAGTCGTGATTGCATTTTGTAGCCTCGGAGCTCTGGGACCAACCTGATGCCAAGCGGAGTGTTCGAGTTTCGCGTTTCCTTCCCCCCCCCCCCCGAAGAACATGCCTCACTGGTGGCTAGTGGACCAAGGAGACTCACGCTGTACCCACTGTCGAGCAATGCACTGAACGTCGTACTGCCGATTTGAACATCCAAGAGCGGCTCCTTCCCTCCTCTGGCTGCAGATGCAACTTGCATAATAAAATTGCAGTAGGAACCCGCCGAATCGGTGCCTACTGGCGCCCGTTTCCCGAGCACTGAGCCTGGAAGTGCCCTGGACGGCCGCACTGGAAGCAAACGGCAATGTCTTGGCACGGTCTACTCGCACAGCTGCGTACAATGTGGCCGACGCCGCCACATCGTCGACAAACAACTTGGCTCGGGGCCCGCTGAGGTCGACGCCCTGCTGGTGGTCGGTACGTTGGTGCGCCGACAGATTGGGCATGAATTATGGGCCACTGGTCCCACTGGTATGACGGTTGCACTGCTTCGGGGTGGAGGGGCCACGCGCACGCAGGTGTCCAACCGGCATTCGGCGCGGAGACGACTGCTGCGGAGTGCTGGGGCACTGCCATGGTGTCAGGCATGCCATGCGCCGAATATGCCAAGTCGTGCGCGACCTGATTTGTTTTGGGTGGAGGAGGCCGTTATTGTAGCCGGCGCCGCACTCGCTCCATCAGGCCATTGGCCGCATCTGCCAGGGCCTTAAGCTTGAGAAGGTGGACCCCGCTACCAAGTCTAGGAGCTGTGGGTGCATTTGGCGCAGCACTCTGTCGACCTTGACGTCGTCGGCAACCTCCTCTCCGATTCAGTCGTAGAACTCGGAAATCTCGGAAATAACATAAATAAATTCTTTCAAGTTCTCCTCCGGGTGCTGAGTGTGTGCCTCCAACTCTTCCTTCAGGCGCTTCTTTTCGTCGGCCGACGCGAATTCCCGTCGGAAAGTGGTGACAAAGGCATCCCACGTAGCGAAGGGACCCGCGAAACGATGCCACAATTTCGCGCTGCCGTCAAGCGCCGCGGTAACGACGCGAACTCGGTCCTCCAGAGCTATGCCGTTAATCAGGCGAAAATTGTCCACTTTGCTGAGGAATTTCTCCGGGTGTTGCACATCCTGGAAGCCCGCGAACCTAGGAAACGTGGTCGCAATGGGCGCTGTCACCGTCGCCGACATTTGTGTAGCCGGCGGTCCAACAAAGGCCGGGCGGCGCTCGTTGCCTCCGGGAACCACGGGAGCGGCCATTAACGCCTGCCGCAGCTCAGATGCTATGCGCTCGCGTTCGATAGCCAATCCATTTGTCTGACGCAGCATAAACTGTACGAAGTCATTGGGCATTTTAGCCGGTCCAATCCCGGACGAGCCCCCACTTGTCATGCTCGTTCGTGTTCGTTAGGCCTCACTCCCAGATTCACCCGCCACTCACGTCCAACCACAACACCGTCCGCGCATACACTGCCCGCACACAGGCCGGATGTCCACTGTTGCCACCACGCCCAGGGGGCGCCACATACCCCCATAACTACCAATGGATGTCCTCACAATTCATTCATTCAGAAAAAAAAGGTTTATGGTTAGTAGTATTGAGACAAGTGTCCCATAGTCGAGCGACTGCAGCGGGACCTTCGGTTAAGAATAATACCAGAAAAAAATTTAAGCAGCATGTCAAAATTACACAACGCAAATGGGAAGTATATAGCATATGATTTAGAAAGCAAGAAAAAAAACAAAAAAACACCTTCAATGCTACACAACAGGTTTGATGATATGTGGGGTTTAACGCCCCAAAACCACCATGTGATTATGAGAGACGCCGTAATGAAGGGCTCCGGAAATTTCGACCACCTGGTGTTCTTTAACGTGCACTCAAATCTAAGCACACAGGCCTACAACATTTCCGCTTCCATCGTAAAGGCAGTTGCCGCAGCCGGGATTCGATCCCGCGACGTGCGGGTCAGCAGCCGAGTACCTCAGCCACTAAAACACCACGGCGGGGTGCATAACAGGTGCACGAGAATCAGTTTAATCTATGTAAATATACAGGTGATAGAATATAACTTTAAATTACAAATAGGTTGGAGTTATGTACACATATATACATATGAAATAATTGTTGTTTACAAGCTAATCATGCAATGTAAATAGTTTTTAGTTTTGTTTTTTATTGTGTGCATTGATGATGATGATTTTAGCGTGCAGGGCCAATTATTCCATAATTCATTCGCAGTTGTATAAGATTTAAGTTGGAATACGTCTAATAACAAAAAAATTATTGTACTCGTCTACTTAATTTGCACCAATCATATTTCTAAATATCTCTAAAGGTACGCGTAAGCAACAGCTGAACTAAAAATAGTCGAATAAGAATGAAAGCGCAATGAAAGCGCAATGAAGGTGCCATAGGCAATGAACAACTCGAAAGAGATATCTCGAAAACTGTACCTTAGGTTTCCAGTCGCGAGCTTGCAACGTTTCTCACAAAAATGTCTTCTTTTGCAGTGGCTTCCTCCTAGCCTACGTCGTGTGCAAGCAAAAGAGGACGGGCGTCATTTTGTTCCTGTTTGCTACAGTCAGGAGATTTATCAGGTAATTTACTTTATAATTTGTAATCAGCAAAGTCCATGTGCCAAAACGACATCGCATGTGGAGTTCCTTAAAGTGCACCTGAGTCTATTATGAAAACCAGCATATATGTGGCATGAGGGCTGCCTACAGACATGAGATATCCCGAGTGTAACGCAAAGCCAAATGCGCCCGTGTGCATCTCTTATGCTCCTGGAAGGGCCCACACTCGCTCAAGAACAACTTCTTTACGTGTATTAACTAAGCGGATTATGAAAGCTAAAATGCTGTAGTTTTCCAGCTGTATAGAATGTGCTTTTCGAGTATCTGTAAACTAATACATGACAAAGTTTTGTTCGTCCATACAAATGGACGAAACAGAAGTACGCGATGACTACAAATATGCTGCGGCCGCTATGAGTGTGCTCTCTCTCTTTCGGTTATGGCGCCTCTATACGGAGGCGCGGCATATCTACTGACGTTACAACTATAGCGATGGCAATGAAAAAATCATTAGCATAGAGTTAATGTGAAGGTAGCCGTTGGGTAAAGAACAACGTTATCATGAGCCAGAGAGCAATTCGAAACCAAGAGTAACTCAAAACATGGGCTATTCGAGAAGTTGTATGTATTACTGTGGTTAATCTGTGTTATTTTCCGGCGTCGGGAGGATGTCAGCTGAATAATATCGAGAATATTGTTTTTGGAATAAGAATTCGGTTTTTTCCATAATATAACCCGTCCCCTATCAGCGGCATCTAATCATAATCAATTACTTTTTCGCGGTAATTATGAAAACGGCTTGTAGAGCTCTATTTATTAAAAAAATGTACAAGTGAAGACAAAGCTGCAGGCTAACAAGGATATTCTCTACATTCTACAATGCTACATCATTCTATCTTCACCTTCCCCTGAGGAACCGCCTCGTTTGGGTTCTTAAATGTTTATGTTACATGCGTGTATGTTTGATCTGCGTTAAAGATAATGTATAAACTAGGAGGCCTTACGACCCAGGCTCGTAGCCAAAGGGGGGGGGGGGAGCCTACGAAATTTGGATGAGGTGGGGTGTTTTGGCAAGAAAAAATAATGAAACTAGGGGTTCTTCAAGGCCTTCAACAAGTTCTCATCTCCGAAAAAAATTTCTTGGCTACGGGCCTGTTAAGAACACTCACCATTACTGACTAATGGGGCTACACCAAAACAGACGGGACATCAAGAGTGTGACCTAAGCATAGTTTACAAACGCGCAATCATAACAGTCTTAGATAACGGGCGTTATCTGCTTCTAATTTGACATCGGCGTTCTTAACCTCAATTAAAGGGACGCGCCTTTTCAACTGAGTTTTCTCTTTCAGAACCATGGTCCCGGTATTCTTTCTCATCATGTGCATCTACCTTCTGCCACTCATTACGTCCGGACCGGATGCGATAACCTATTTCAACAAGGTGTACTCTGAATTCAACAGGCAGTGGCTCAATGTGCTGCTACAAGTGCAGAACTATGACTTCGATATCAACGCCAACGCTGTACGTTCATCATTTCATAAAGCAGGCGCGAGTACCTCGGGCGGCTATTTACATCACTCGGAACCACTCTATGCGGCATGGTCACGTGATGAAACGGTTGCGTGTCGTCGTAATTGAGTAAGAACATAGTAGTAGCATCATGCGTGTATCTGTGCGCATCATCGCAAGAACATTGATCGATATGCGGGGTTTAACGTCCCATATGATTATGAGAGACGCCATAGTGGAGGGCTCCGGAAATTTCGACAACCTGGGGTTCTTTAACGTGCGCCCAAATCTGAGCACACGGGCCTACAATATTTCCGCCTCCATCGGAAATGCAGCCGCCGCAGCCGGGATTCGAGCCCGCGACCTGCGGCTTAGTAGCCGAGTACGTTAGCCACTAGACCACCACGGCGGGGCGATCGCAAGAACAGAATGAGACCCTAGATGATCGCGCCATCAAGTACGGCATGTAAAATTTCAAATGGCAAAGGTATTCTAATGAGTAGGTTAGAAAAGCAGTGGTGAAGAGACATTTCTTTTTCATTTTTAGCAACCTGTGCCCATGCGTGACGAATAAAACGATACATCCTATATTCTATACAATATATTTCTCGCATAGGCTGTACTTGACTTATACAACGCACTTTTAACATTTAAGCTACTTCCCGTTTTCAAACGGTTCTGTAACTGTGTGCAGGAACTCTGCTAAGACCGCAGTCTCTGAAGCATTCTTGTCTACTTGTTGGGTACTTTACCGTGCACAATGTCCAGGTGTAAATTTGTCGCAACAAATAATGAACGTAGCCTAAACGACTTGTGATGAAATGAACGTTCTGGCATTGGTATTCATATGCAAATTTTGTGAAGTAGTCTTCGGGTGGGAATTCATTTGGATTATCCCGGTTTGTCATTTATCATCATCAGTACAATCTTCCCCACGTATCTTCAAATGGCCAGTAGCTTTAGCCAAGCTGTCCGTAACATATGTCTCAACATCAAAATTTGTTCGACCGATGGTGTTTCTTCGTTACAGCCTGTCCTTGGCCATCTGTGGTACCTGTCACTGGATTTCCAATACTTCCTTGTGAGCTTACCAGTGCTCCTCATTTTCAAGAGGTAAGTATGCAGCCGCTTTGGGTCCTTATATTTCCGCTATTCAACTCGCAAAAGTCGTTTATTCGCGTCCAAATTTTCGCGATTTGAAGGTTGGCGGAATTCATTTTCTTACTGACTTCTCCACGCTGCCACCTGTTTTGAATCCGGTAGTTCGCAGCTGGGGCAGCAAGAATACAAACTTTTTATATGTATAGTTTTAATCTGTGCTTCCCCATCTCCATGGATAGTCGCGCACGATAACTGACCTCATAGCCAGAACATTTTTTTCGGGGGGCGGGGGCAGGTTTGGGGGTTGAGGTCTAACCAGTGTTTATGTTCGTGCGTGCGTTTAATATGTGCATGTATATATATACGGAAACAAACTTGAATATGTTCTAGGGGGAGTGGGTGGGTTGAACGCCTAAAAATGCCCCCTTGGCTACGCTCCTTACTGACCTGTAAGAAAGCGCGTGAAACGGACAACTGTGTTTAGAGAACAAAATGACGTAAGTGCCTGAGTGACTTGTGACTCATTAGTGAACTCGAATCGGTCGTTTAGACCCCTTGCCACTCGAAAACTTATCCTCAGCAGCTAGCTGCCTTGAAGGGACCCTGAAACAGTTTCTCGAAGTTTTGTCAGCGTTTAGAAGAGAACATCATCAAACCATTCACACCACAAATTTAGCGACACGTGTGTGCCAAGTCCGCTACGGATAATTATATCATACCTTTTTCGCCCCTCACTTGCCTCATCAACTCATGAGACACGCTGGCATCGCTTGCGATCGCAGAGCTCTCATAAGCGCACTCGACAATTTGCACTTCCCCCAGTCATGACCTCTGAAATAGCATGCAGACCACTGCTAGGGTGGCTAGAATGGTGCCGCCATTCTACGAGCCGATCTTACTTACGCGCATTCCACACCCAATCAGATTAGCAGCCTGGGTGACGTCGCTTTCAGTGAATCTCATACTGCAAATGAGTAGATGAAAACGCGTTTGGATGTGTCGCAGCGATGTGCAGCGATTCCCAGCTTTAAAGCGTTGTAATAGATTACACAGTTTACGCAGATAACTGAAACCCTTGGGGCTTGGTCTACTGAACCAATGTGGTTGTACAAAACTATCTAAACCGTTTCGGGGTCCCTTTCAATATTGCGTGTACATCGCGAATACAGGTATTAGACCGGGTTCCACTGTATTTACAGAATCTCACCACTTTACAACTGCTCCAACTCGAACCGGACGTACATGCACTGCCGCATTTTTAGCTGTTAAGTGCTTTCTCTGGAATGTCGCCTGCAAACAAAGAGAGAGCAGTTCAAAAAATGTTCGAGTCAAACGTTACGCCAGCTTTACATGCACAAAAAAAACAAGAAAAAATGTATGAGGATGTTTTTTTTTTCTTATGATTATTCTACAGCCGCCAAAGGCTTGCTGTGGCTGTCTTTGTGGCGCTATCACTCATAAGCTGCTCCGTGGCAACGTGGCAAGTGGCTGGCAGCGATATGACACCATTCATCGTACCAGTGACCGAGTCGTTAACGTGAGTGACAGCACTTCCCCCTTCTTTTTTACTCTTCACCTTTTTATGGGAAACTTCAAAAATATTCCTATCGCAGTGAAACAAAAATTTTAATGATGTTTTTATGTAACACTTATTTATTGGCTCTACGTTGAGGTGTCAAGCTAACTTTTAGCGCCGCCGTGGTGGTCCAGTGGCTAAGGTACTTGGCTTCTGACCCGCAAGTGACGGGATCAAATCCCGGCTGCGGCGGTTGCATTTTCGATAGAGGCGGAAATGTTTTAGGCGCGTGTCCTCAGATTTGGGTGCACGTTAAAGAACCCCTTACGCCGGCAGGAACAGCAGCAGCTGGTCCAGCGGGTTTGCAGGGTCGCGCAAGGCAATAGAGCCCTGGATTGAGGGCCCCACGCAAGAAGGCTCAGTGTGCATTTGTTATTAACAAAAGTTTACTCTCTCTCTCTTGAAAACCCCAGGGTAAGGCTCAGTGCATTTGTTATTAACAAAAGTTTACTCTCTCTCTCTTGAAAACCCCAGGTGGTCGAAATTTCCGGAGCCCTCCACTACGGCGTCTCTCATAACCATATAGTGGTTTCGGGAAGCTGAACCCACATATGAATCAAATCAATGGAGCTAATTTTATTTGGGACAGCATGTCCTGTAATTGTGCCTAAATGTGTATCAAAATACATTATCTCAAATTCGTGAATTTGTCTCACGAATATTTGCAAATTTGGGTGGCCTGAAATATTCTTTACCGAGAAATACACCTTCCGTAGAGTAAGTATTGATTACTGGGGTATTCATACATAGCACTTGGTTAGAAGGGGGAAAATTCAAACATGGAGCACTTTGGTGAAATTTGTGGAGGCCTATATGGCAGGAAAACTTCAGCAGGATTAATGCCACTCGAGCCCCATGAGCAAGCGCTGTTGCCTAGTATGTGCATCATTTTCGGCAACGAAAACAAGAAACGATGCTTGCCAAGCTGATTTTTTTAAAACGTCTTACGGCATCCTGCTAAATTCAGAAGACCATTGGTTGATCAAGTTTTATTCTCTCTAAAATATTATAGCAGTTTACTCTTTTTCAAACTAACACTATTTTTTTGCGATCGCAACAGAGATGGTCACCAAAATGGCTGAGACGTTTGACATAGACTGACCCTGCTACAACGCGACAGTAAGACGCGAACACCACAAGAGTGCAAATCATGGCATGTTGGCGCGTGAAATAACGCAAACCAAAATGCCATAATGAATAACAGCTCGTATATACAGGGTTCTCAAACAGGCAGCCATCATATCGTAACATGACCATTTCCTTTCACACACACACACACACACACGCACACACACGCACACACACACACACACACACACACACACACACACATATATATATATATATATATATATATATATATATATATATATATATATATATATATATATATATATATATATATATATAATGAGAACTAACAGATATTAATGTCAAGAAAAGTATAGGGGACGATATTAGACCAAACTGTAATGAAATAATGAAGAAAGAATAGTGGGTGAAAACATAACTTTCCGTGGGCAGGAACTGAACCTGCGACCTTCAAATATCGCGTTCGATGCTCTACCACTGAGCTACCACGGCAGCTATCCCCCCAGCCACTTTATTGGGTTTATATGGGAATTTAAACGTAGGAGTTGCAGTCAGTGCCACCAGTAGTCATTGCGGCGAGTGTGGGACACTCTTTTGAGCCTGTTTGGCGTCACGTAGCATGTGAACTTATTACGAGCGGGCAGCTGGCCAATAGTCCTGTATTGGTCAGCTATACTGTCGTGACTGGCTGGCACTCGCTCTTCGAGTCGTTACACCCTATGAAGTGTACTTAGTGAATATGCAGCCACAAGCCTCAGCACACACAATAAACACAAACAAGCACGTCTAAACTAGTTTTTAATTAAAACGTGCATTAACTAGGACCGTTTTCACGCAATTCAAATTCAAGTATATTGCTGTATAGTTGCAATGTGAAAGCATGTGCGTGCTTATAAAATTAATAACAAATATTAAGCAGGGCAGTTGAGAAATCCGAATGCATAAAGTCCAGGTGGTTCCGGTAGCTGGCGTTGAAGGTCTTACGTGTCCGCTATAGGCTTCTGGCTTCGTTGACCTGCGAAGCAAAAAGACCGTAAGTGGGCTCGCAGTCCTGGACATGATTGGATCAGATTGCGATAATTCATTTGGTATACCAGAGCCGAGCAGTAACGTCGTTCGGAGATTCGGTTGCGACTCTCACTCCGCAAAGGCCAGCCGGAGTTCGAATGCGTGAAGCTCTACTTGCTGAAAGCGTGCCACTTTATTGTCACTCTACTACTCATTCGTTAATTCTTGTAATAATTATGGCAAAATGTGCTGAGTAACACCTATAACAGAAATTTGACTTCTCTTCACGTACTACAGAACCAATCCATTAGAATACTTACTAACCGTTCATATTTTTCTTATGGTAAATGCCTACTTCGTGATAACAGCATCCTAACCATCTCAGAGCTTCTCAATTACAACTTAAGTATCATATTCTATAATTACATAACCAACGCAGCATCTCCAATCTGCTTCTTATCTACTTATCTGTTTGCCTATAGTAATAATAAGTGCACGTAACAATAACGTTCTTTTGTCAAAGGTACGCCCTAACTATGGCAAACTGACTGCTGAATTTTCATCAAAATCATTATGAAATGAACTACCAGCTTCTATAAAAAAATGCAAGGAACTTACATCATATTTAAGACGGAACTACAATCGCACATTATGCATGCTTCGTATAGCTGTTCCTTTCCATCACTTCATTTTGTTTCAATTTCCAGATTTTATGTATTATAGCTTTTTGTATTCTTTTTCGGTTATAATGCATAGCTTTATTCATTGCTTCATTTTGTTTTTCCTTCGTACATTTCTTTATGTTCTGCTGCTAATGTGTTTAGTTTATACTTTAGATTTTTGCTTATGTGGCCTCATACACTGTTTGGCCACAATTCACCCTTAACGGGAGGCCACGATTCAGTCTTCGACTTTGGGACCCTCTGATGTATACTAAACACATGTATTCGTATCAACAAAAAATCCGAAATCTGACTTCAAGAGAAACTCCAACACTTTGGGTCTTGGACTTTGGGACCTTCTCATGTATACTAAACACATTGATTCGTATCAATAAAAAATCCGAAATCTGAAATCAAGAGAAACTCCAACAGCGTGACAGAGGGCGCTGGTACTAATGTCCCCGTGTTCCTTGGGTCATATGTGCCTAATGTCCAGGTGTAATGCAAACGACCTGAGAGAAAAACGTGACATTGCAAGTTATTAGATAGGGATGCTTCTTTAGCCACCTGCTTAGGTCGTTATGTTGCCTCTTGCAGAGTCTTGACCTTAGACACGACTTCTAAAGCCGGAAGGGCTCTTTCACAGTAGCAAATGTTCTTAAAGACTATTTCATGGCGCTGTTTATTTTTGTTTATTTCTTTCAACGCAGAACTTTATTGAAGACCATCTACCACTACTACTTTTGGCCCTTCTACCACGCTGTGTGCTACTTCGCAGGCTGCATCACGTTTTTCTTCGTAGCTGAGCTGAAGCACAATAAGATTTCTAAGGTGAGAACATGTATACATCACTTAGTCGAGGACCTGGTGAAGTCTAAATTTGAACATGCTGCACTTCTGCAAGAGTGCTTCGTCTTGCAGAATTCCGGCATTTGAATCGCGTACAACTGTAAATGAATGAATGAACTTTATTTGGTCCTTCGGAACGACCTTTAGCACGTTGCGGGCCGCTCCTCCGTCGGAACAGAAAGACCAAGGCCCTCTGGTGCGTCGTGGGCCCGGTGGACTGCCCACAACAGTTGTTCGAGCCCGGAGCTTGTAATAGCACCCTCCCATTTGGACGGCGTGATGACTTCCCGACAGTGTAACGCTGGGCACCGTCAGAGCATATGTTCCAAGTTAGCTGTATTGTCGCAGAAGGAACATGTATTAGTTCGCTGTATTTTGGAATAAATTTTGTTCAATAGCGCGGGGTTGGGGTACGCCCCGACTTGAAGACGCCTGAGTGTCAGAGTGTGAGGTCTGCTTAGTTTTCTGTGTGGTGGAGGGTATTGCCTCCACGCCAGGTAAAAATATTTTGTTACTTCGTTATACGAGATGGGGGGGTCACGGTTCTCCAAAGTATCAGCGCCGCCCCCCCCCCGCCAGATAGCTACGCTGTTTGCCAGTTTTCGCGCAGCTATGTGGGCTGTCTTGTTGAGATTAGACGGGGCTCCCTTAATGAGTCCCATATATAAGCGTGGAACCAAACGAGTGTGTGTGGCTCGATGTCTTTCTCCTGAAAAATTAGCAAAGCTGGTTCCGATATTGTTCTCTTGGCACATGCTCGGCCCGCCAATCTCGAGTCACTATATATTGTGGACCTCCTGTACTCCAGCAAAGCCAACGCATTCCCCTCTTGCTCTGCTATTTTAGCCACCGTCGTCCGGACCGTTGTCGAGTCGGTGATACCATCCTTGTGGTTGATGGTATTTGCCGCATATGCCTTTCCCTCGGGATATCGGGCCGCATCGACAAGGGAGCAGTCCCCGGCATGTTCTTGAGCCCTTTGTAGTTGAGCCTTTGCCCTGGTCCGTCTTCTACCCTCGTTATTTTCGGGGTGGACAATTCGTGGGATGAAGACGACGGTGATTTGTTATCGCTGTTGACGAGGAGTGCTGCAGAAGCGAGACTTGAATTCTTTCGGTGGAATCTCCAGCTCCCGCAGGATGTTTCCACCGGAACGCGTGGTGGACAGCCTGGCGAATGGCGCCCTCTCCTGTTCCTCTGCAATTTCTTCCAGCGTGTTGTGAATGCCAAGACGTAACAGTCTATCCGTGCTTGTGTACATTAAAAGTCCGAGAGCTCTCTTGATGGCCTTAGTGATTAACGTGCTGAGCTTATCGCGCTCCGACCTCTGCCAGTTGTGCATGGCTGCAACGTAGGTGAAATGGCACATCACAAAGACGTGCACCAACCTAACAAAATCATCTTTTCCAAGTCCTTGTTGACTGTTGGCAACCCTTCTTATTAGTCAGATTGCATTGTCAGTTTTTTTGGCGAAACTCGTAACCATCAGGCCATTGGAGCCTTTCGACGCCCTCGCCGCGGAAATCGGAACTGCTTCTGTACAGGCCCTAGCGCAGGGGCCCATACCAAGAGGGTGGAAGCCATTTGAGGATATACCTGTGAAAGAAATGTTTATACCAAAGCTAAAGTACCGGAATTTCTGTCCGCGAATTCTACTGAATGCAAGAATTATTACAAACGTCCTTCATATGGCGTACCCTTGAAGATGCGCATCCGTTTAGTTCCTCATTACAAAAACGAAGCTATTCTAAATGAATTTCAGCATACACTTTCCATTGAATAGAAAGCTCCCACACATTAATGTCATTGCCTAAATCGGAGGTATTGTAATCTTAACTTGTTCTTATTGCACATGAATAACTTTAAACAAAAATCTTCTGTGCAACCGATTACTAAAAGAGCTGGCTAACCCTATTGAACTTCCACATTCAATCAGAGCTCGGGCACAAAGTCCAGCGATTGCTTTTTTTTCTATGCGTGCGAGCGTGGCTCTCTACACATACAACAAAAACAAAAAAACAGGATGTTGCATGTGCTGTGCAACTTATTCCCCATATGTTGCAGAACTTTGTCTATGTAGAAGTCCTCCATTCGACCACGAATTGTCATCAGTAGTGTCGTTCACCCGATAACTGTGGTGACACTTGGGAAGCCGCAAGCCGGCTAATGAAGATGCATTATTACGCAGTGTAATTCTATAAGCATAATTGTTGGGCCATGTATTCACACCACTGTTCGTACACTGCAGGTGTTCGTACGAATGCTTGCCAGTCAATCATAACAACGCACTTAAGCAATATTTAGTGCCGTTGGCCAGTCGCCGATGGAACAATTCGAACGAATCAATGCAGCTAAATCGGATGCGCGGGCGTGCTGGTTCAACCTGCAAAGTACATAGGTTCATAAAAGAGGGACACTAAAAGCAGCTTTTCTTGTCTGTGTGCTTCTTTCACTGGTACTCTTTTATTTGAGTGTAAATTTCTGTAGTCTATAACGAATTCACCTCCTGATTCTGTCAACGATCTGCGTGTTCAACTTACACGAATCTACCTTCTGCAGGTTTTGCAGACTGCGGCCTGGTGCGTCGCCCTTGCCTGCGGATTGTGCTGCATCTTCATGAAGGTGCCTTGGTACCAAACCAAGATGCCCGCCACCAATTCCGGAAAGTTATCCATGGCGTTCTTCGACCGCATATTGTGGTCATTGTTCATGTCGTGGATCACATTCGCCTGCGCCACGAGGAGGGGAGGTATGTTCACCAATGTGCTTGACTCGTCGTTCGACGGGAGTGTGCCCCGTATTATTGTGTGTACAGTGGGTACCAGCTTAACCAGCCGTTGGTGAAAGCTTAAGCGTACAGTGGTATGCTGTTCATATAAAAAAAGAATTTGTACATACAAGTCAACGAGTTGTAGTCACTCGTTCATTTCCACCATTTCAATCAACACTGCATGTTTAAGGCCATTAATTTTGTTATTGAGATATACCATGTTTGCCTCGCTAGTTTAGGTTTAAACGGGAACGCCCTGGCAATTTTTATGAGGTAACGTGATATTAGTACATAGCCAAGGATCATGTTTTAGCAAGAAACAACAATCAGTTTACCATAAACGCGGCTTTAGCATAGAAGGGGGGAAATTTTAACCTTTCTTTGGCGTTCAGTTCACTACATTAGGCAAAAGACAGGTGTGCTATATCACTCTAAAAAAAGGGGGAGCGAGAATGGAAAAACGGGCTCCGTTCCTCCTTGGGCGCAGCGACTTCCTCCATTTCGGGCGCTTTACCCGTCGCGCCTTCTTGCGGCAAGTGCTAAAATCACACATTATGCATGCTTAGTGAATGCATAATGCATGCTAAGCATGCATAATGCATAACGAACTAAGAATGCATAATGTGTGATTTTAGTGTTATACGGGGGTGAGTTTCTTCTTAATCACGGGGGTCTTGCTCGCGCGCATGCGCACGCCAAGCCTATAGCCGGCCGCGGCCAGTTGCGAGCGATTGCTTTTACCTAAGATTGTTGTAAGCAATGCAGGAATGACGTTTTCTTTTGTTTTATTAGTGTAGAGCAAAAGCCTCTCTTTTTTTATTGTCAGGCACTCGCACGATGCTCCGCACACTTCCATGTGTGTCTCGTGTTGCTTCATACTACCAATTTGTCACGAATACAAGGAGCTCTGCTTCCCAAGCAGTCTTGCTTCATCGATTACCTTAGAGTGTAAAAAAATAATGAATTTTTTTCGGTGTCAACATACTTGGTAAGCCCACGCATCTTTAGTTTTGCACGGCACCAACAGCCCTCATGAATTCAACGAGGCGCGTAAAGAAGCTTCACACATAATTTTTCAACATTCTAGGAAACCTGATACCACTCTACAGCCGATGCGTGAAAGTACGATCATATACAATTGATAGAGTTATACGTGCCACTACCGCCGTATAGATGTTATTTACAGTTTACCCCCCTTCGAATACGGCCGCCGTGGCCGGAAGTCGAACCTGCGTCCTCCAGCATAGTCACACGACACCCAATAAGGCTATGCTACCACGGCAGGTGAAAGCACAAAGGGAAACAGGCTGCGAAGTTTCACCAAGCGTTTATTCGCCAGACTAGGTTGCAACCATCAGAAACTTTTTAAAAATCATCATAACTAAACTTTTGTGAAAAGTGAACCAATGTTTTCTGTAGGTTGAACCAAATTCTCAATCGCATTCGTTTTGGATTGCCCATGCCAGCACTGAGAAGTAGAAAGGAATTATGCACGCGTGCAGTATGCCTTTCTCGTCCATGATTCTCCATTGTCGTGAGAAACTCAACACAAAATGCACTTCTAGTAACAGCTGTGCACAGCAAGTAAGTACTAACGCTCTCTCACCTTTGTGAAAAGAGTATTCCGAATCCAGAGTAATAAGCACCACAGCCACAGCCCTAACAACAAAATTATGGCACGCACTATGATTGCAAGTTGACACGCGAGGCGAATCGCGAGAGGCATCTGAAGCAGAAAAGTATGCAGGCACAACATTCTATAAAGTTATTGTAAACTTGCGCACTGCAGCGATAGTTCCTCCACTCAAGTATTAGAGCTGCCGCGACGCCAACAGCCACTGTCATAGACAGCCACTGTCATAGCTCACGAAAAAATACCGTCAGATGCGAGGTCATCGTTTATTTCTCTCGCAAGACCCGCGTTGTAACGTACGTATACACTGCTAGGACGGTCGTTACCGCATCAAAAACATTGTCATTGAAAGGCTAGTGGTGTGCTGTATCCAATGCTAACGGTCACACTTGTGGTACGCATGTAAAAAGAATATAAGCAAACGTTAAGACGAAACAACTAAATGAGGTCGACGTGACCACAGAACACCAACCACGACGAAGACAAAGTTTGGTCTGCATGCTGCGCCCTCTCCAAGTAACAAGAAGAAAAAAAAACGTGACCTCCGAAATGGCTAACGCGCGACAAGTGTTTGCACTCTCGGAGGCTTTCAGAAAAAAAAAGTAACTGTGGCAGTGGTCGACAGATGGCGCAGCGTTCGGAATGCCGTGGGCATTCTATGCGTGGCTCGGGGGTATCCGCCTTCTTGAAAACCTGATAAGCTCTAGTAATTATTTCGTTCATTATTAAGCAACCATTGATAAACTTACGTTTGTCTAAGCATCAGATACAATATATTTACGTGTGCGCATGTTATGGTATTGATACAAAACGTAAAAAAAGTGTAAGAAAACCTACTTGTAGCCTGTGCCACTATGGTCAGTCGAAATTCATGGCTATATAACCTGGTGCGCTTTTTCTGTAGGGTGTGAGTAAACACGTTGAAGTGTGGGCCGTTGCTGTGAATGGTTGATTGTTTCATTGTTGCGTATATGTTAGTGTACCTGTTGCGTACTATATGTGTAGTATGTCACCATGTGTGCATGTGTAGCTATATATTGATTGCACCAGCCCTATATTAGGCTTCCGGTGTCAGTGAGTAATCCTGAATGGGCTGAGGCGTAAACAATCTACAAGAGAGCCGTGAAAGTGGGTATGACAACGTACGTCGCGAATGGCAACTTTTTTTTAGTTTCGTTTAGTCCCTCCAGATGGCGCCAGCTACCACCTACTTCATGGCTATGACGCTCTCACACCTCCAGCTACTTGTATGACGTTGAACATCTGTCTATCAAAGCTGCACTATGGATTCGGAATGGTTTCGCTGCGATCGAGTGTACGGTTAGGAGGCACATCCCATGACCTGCGGACCCGTAAACGCATAGATAGCGTCGCTACACTATGTTAATCTGCGATAAACAAATACAGCAAGCCTAGCATGCAGTCTTCAGGTGAGGGCTCTGCTGTATCCGTGTCTTTCGGAGTGAACGTGGATTCGCTTACCGAACGAAACGTACTTGCTCCGTCGTTCTCTTTCGCGATGTGTTCACCGCCACAGGTTTGTCTGCTTGTTTTTATAATCATTTCGTTCAATATCAAGCTCAGCGGGCCCGTTTTTTGTAACTTTCAGTGCCGTGTACTACTTATCAGTCGAGAATCGTTGCATTTGCTAAGCCTACACAGTAAAAATTTTTACATTCAGAAGGGTGTATATAACCTTGTCCCATGGACGACACCCTAAGGGTGTTAATTCAGCACCTTCCAAAAAGGGTGCTTTACCATGCACCCTTAGAATAGGGTGTACATGTAAAAAAACTGTAGGGTGTTGAAAAACACCCTTAAGGAAGGGTGCCTTCGATGTCCATCACTTTTTTAGCACCCTCTGAGGAGGGTGCGAGAAGGGTGCACAAGGGTGTTGAGTGCCCATGGCAGGGGTGGCGAATACTGCCACCAATAGATATCAGCATGCACTGATTAAACACTACTTGAAGAAAGTGGTCCTGATTATCGATGGTGCGCCACCTGTCGAGCTCCATTCATTGCGTGTGGGCAAAAATATAAACGCGTACAATCGTGTATGAACTTGTGCTGGATCTATATATACTTCACAGTATATGCATAATGTGCGTTACAGAAAATGAAGCCTTGCTGCCCTTGCATAATGCGTTTATTTAATAGGCAAATAAAACATAAACTTTTCTTCTGCCACACAACTTTTTCACCAGATATACGTTCACGTATACGTACACTACACATGCAACACCTCAATTGTTTATTATATTTTTTCAGTTTCACTTTATTGACTATTCTTCGCAACATACAATTACACTAGTTTCAGTTTAGTATACTGCTTCAAGTACATAGAGACTACAAATGAAATACACGCTAATATATCCCTATAATTCTTTCAAGTATCTACAATCCCAGTGGTTTCCAGTTTAATATTCCTTAGTGTACACAATCGGTTAATAGGAATGAAATACAGGCAAATATATACTTATGATTCTTTCAAATATATACAATCACCATGATTTCACTATATACGCCTTCATGTACACAATCTTTCGCAAGAAGTGATGCACACAAAAATATATATGGATAGTGTTTTCAAATGTATACAATCACAGTGGTTTAAGCTTTGTGTTCCTGGATGTATAACAATTGGTTATGAGAAATGATGTACATGCAAACATATACGGGTTTTCGCACATATAACTTTAGCGAATACTTAAGAAACTAATACAATGATCAGAAACACAATATGCTAAAAACGAACACAAAACTGAGTCAGGACACACAAAAAACAAAAGAGGTAATGCATAATTATGGCTAATGACACAGCTGGGTCACTTTATGCCAAATGTCCCAGCCATTTTGGCAACCATCTCAAATGTATTCGGAAAACTCGTGCTGCATTTAAAATAGTGAACTTCTGGAATATTTAGGAGAGGAAAAATATTTGGTCACGTGCCTGCCTTCTGAACTTTCTGGAATGCCGTCTAGGTGTTGTTTGTGAAAAATTTTATTTTAAAAGCACCGCTCCTTCTTTCCATACGAAACTCGGTCTACGTGTTACGTAACAAGAGCTTAATTTGGGAGAGTTGGTTCATCGTGGTTGTGTGCTAGTCACAGTGCGACAACTTTAGGAAGAGACAGAAAGGACATGAAAGAGCACAGACTGTCAACTGAATTTAATGAATGTGCTACGAGCGCTTTTATACGGAGTACAAGAACCGTGTTCATGCGCGACGACACGTGTGAGCACTACAAAATAATTTTAACTGTGAAAAGAATACTCCCTCTCGGAAAGGATAAGTGAACGTGTAGTGATGCACTGGTCATTGGTTTACCTGATAAAAAATACTTC